TGGAGCGTTGCGCACAGAAACGTAATGCACAGAGCGGACACAATTGGCCATTCAGCGTCACAAAGGGCCGTGTCTATAGTCTGGATGATGTGTTTCTATCTCGACCTTCGGAGGCGTTCCACCCCCGCAAACAGAGCAGGGCCCTGTTTGCGGGGGCAGATGTCAGTCACTTGGCCCCCTGAGGAACATGAGCACTCCTCTGTTAGCCGCCCTGCATATGGCACGGCTGTAAAAAGACAGTGCAAATGACTTAAGTAGGAGAAGCCCCAGTTTTGATGTAAATGGGGCTTGAAGAAGAGTTTCAAAGGGGTCAGACATCTTTTAAAACATGGCTTCAATCAGAGCCAACCTTAGGGAAGAAAGCTTTACTTCTGCTATTTTTGATATTTGAACCATTTTCTGCACGTCTCATTATTTGATATATTCTTTTCCTATCTGCCAACAATAATTTATAAGGACTGTTGATTATGGCAACAGGACTTTGAGTTATAAGTGCCACTTGTCATCAAGGGAAGGGTATAAACTGAAAAATAGAATATCCCGCATATTTAAGACACTAAACATCCACCTGAAAAAATCTATCGTTACACTACACATAACAATCAAATCTCTAGAACATGTGACCCCATGGTCTATTTTTACACCAGCAGAGGGGATGACAGCATTGGACCTCTAGGGAAAAGGAATATGTGTATACATTCTCTCACATCAAAGCCTGGGCAATACTATCCTGAGCTATGCCTTTGTGGCATGCTTGTTAAACTACACACAGCATACCTTGATAATACACAGAAGCCATCCCCCCCATCCCAAGCTGCTTTTGGGTAAACATAAGGGCCACATTTTGGTCAGATATAGATAGCCGTTGTTCTTCCATTGCTTCATGGAAGGCTTTAGTGTACACAAAAACAGAGGGGGTAACCTCTAAGAAGGACCTGTTTACAGTAAACATGAGGACACACATAAACCTGTTTTGCCATCTGCAGAAAAGAACACAGCAAATACTGCCTTAAAGGAAAAAATAGCAATGGCATTAACAAAAATAATCACAATTGTTGTTTGGTATATGATTGTCCCAAAGACATAGACCTGACATAATGTATTATTAGGGTGACCAGGTGCCGACAAGCCACATGTGGGACAAAGAGTATGTTTGTGTGGGACAATGTGGGAAATGTTACTGTGCTGCTAATTTTAGATTTCGATATAATGTTCTTCTAACCCTTAAAAATAAACATTGAAATTACAAGATTTCAGATATTAATAACAACGCTTCACTTTTGTTTGATTTGTTTGCAGCACCTTTGCAAGTAATGGACTTAATTATACTTGGTTTGAATTGATTTCTTTCCTAACAAACAACTAGTATGAATGTATCCATTGATCGTCATTTTTCTTTACGAGACAGAGTCTCACATGCAGTGTCACTTCAAATTGTCATCACCTCTATTCGTGATTGAAAAAGAACTCGCACAGAAATTGCACAAAAAACCCTGGGAATCGCCCTCCATCAGCTAACCCCTTGTGTCAATACATTTCCAGAGTTTGTTTGATTGATTGACGTCTGACGCAGCTCATTTGGATTGCTCTCTCTTGCTTTCTAAACAGCCATTGGATAAAAGTCAAGTCTTAGAAGGGCCACTGTCAATCAAATGCAGGACATCATCTCAATTTGTGGAACGAGACACAAATGATTAAAATGCTGGGCAGTCGTCACCCTACGTATTTTTGTTATGTCAATTATCTGGTAAAGTTAAAGACGAGGCTTTAAAAAATGTTTAATTGTCCAGTTGTTGTGAGCAGAAAACGTATAGAAAGGTATTCTTCTAGGGCACCATTTACTTATCATTTGCAAAGCAGGCATTTGAAGCACAATGGGCTGTTGGTTGCAGCGGTTGAGGGGACAAAAAAAACGCCACCCCATTTTGGTGTGAGCTCCCCCTAGTCTTTTTATATACTTTTTTAAAACTGATATTCAAATGCATTGAAGTTTTCAGATGATACAACTTTGTTGGTTGGACACTAAAGATTATCCCAGTATTGCACGTATGGATTAGTGGAGTGGTGCACTTATTACCCAATACAATATGTGTGTATCCTCCAGTGAACTCGTATCCTCCACCTGTTTCTGTCAATATAAACACATTGAACACTATCTTTAGGCATTTATGAGGATGCTGCTTTATCTTGGAGTGCACATATAGTATAGTTTATATCTGTATATAGTATATATCTGCAGCAACACATGTACTTTCTCTGGAGGCTGAGATCATTGGGAGCAAACAAACATAATTTAGTGTTATCTTTCCAATCTATAATGCAGGGTGTAGTGAAGTATGGAATAAAAGCATGTTCTCTTTTCCCCCTTTGTTCAGGTTAAAGCTAGATTGGCCCCACTGTTACTGATCGGCTCAAAGATTGCAGGTCAAATGCTTGAAATTGTCTACACCCAAGAATGTTGTCTCTGGCTGGTCATTTTACATCAGACCCCTGTCTCATTTTATTGGAAGAATACCAGCTTTTGCGATCACACATAAGATGTATAGTCCCACAGGCTTTAATGTTCTTGTTAAAGAAGTCTTGTGTTCCTCAGTCTGTCAGAGATGGATTGTAAGTAGGCCCCAAAGTACTGTCGAGTTGACTGCATCCTCTAAAAACCGTGTATGTATTGGAACACAAGAATTTTATTTTTTGGCAAATATCCCAATAATAATGTGAAACTAAATCAAAACAAATATCAAAGCGAGTTCGGCAAACCTCCCTAAAACTTTCTAAATAAACATGTTTTTATATGAATCATTTCAATCATTTGTCTCTGAGTCCGACCAAAAGTAAACAAAATAATCTGCCGGGCGTTCATCCAGGGGAATATCACTCATATTCCTCCTTGCACGTTGTTTACATGTTGGATGCTAACTTACTATCTATATAAGTACAGTCCATTTACCATCTTGTCTTCTATGAAAACTCACAAGCTCTTAAAACAAGTAAGATGCTATGTGATGGTAGCGTGATGTGATATGTGTAACCCTACAGCAATGGACATAATCTAGTAATGCATATTCCTGGATCCAGTCGGATCAGAAATACCAACAGTGTGAGCAAAGTTTAAGTACAAAAAAAAATGAAATGAAAAGTGTTGAGGTCCATTTTTTTTTTTTTTCATGAAACCTGCACATATGTAGGTTAGGTTGCCCTGGATGTTGATGCCTCAGTTATCTCTGATCAACATATCATATCCCTTTCCCCTTGCTACATACTAACATAAACCCATTTTTATTCATATACACTACCAGTCAAAAGTTTGGACACACCTTCTCATTCGAAGTTTTTTATTTATTTAATTTGTTTCTACATTGTAGATTTATACTGAAGACATCAAAACTATAAAAATAACACATGGAATTATCTAGTAAACAACAAAGTGTTAACACATCCAGAATATGATTTATATGTTGCTGGCTACTGCAAAATGCTGTGGTAGCCGTGCTGGTTAAGTGTGCCTTGAATTCTGAATAAATCACCAACAGTGACACCAGCAAAGCCCCCCCCACACCATCACACTTCCTCCTCCAGGCTTCACGGTGAGAACCACACATGCAGAAATCTTCCGCCCCCCCCTCATTGTCTCACAAAGACCCGGAGGTTGGAACCAAAAATCTCTAATTTGGTCAAAGTCTAATGTCTAATCCTTGTGTTTCTTGGCCCAAACAAGCGATTGGACCATGAAGGCCTGATTCAGGCAGTCTCCTCTGAACAGTGGATGCTGAGATTGTCTGCTACTGGAGCTCTGTAATAATTGATGTTGGCTCTAATCTGAGGTGCTTTAATTTGCAGTTTCTGAGGCTGAAACTGGAAAATCTTATGTATTTATCCTCTGTATTTGTATTTGTATTTATCCTCTGCAGCAGAGGTAACTTTTGCTCTTCCTTTCCCGGGGGGGTCCACATGAGAGCCAGTTTCATCATAGCGTTTGATGGTTTTTGCGACTGCACTTGAGGATACATTCAAAGTTCTTGACATTTTCTCGACTTCATTTCTTAAAGTGATGATGGACGGTCTTTTCTCTTTAAAGAGTTGAGTGATTCTTGCCATAATATGGATTACAACAGCAGTCAAATAGGGCTTTCCACTTTGCACTAACCCTACGCCAGCACAACACAACTGATGGTCTCAAACACATTCAGAAGGCAAGTCATTCCACAAATTGACTCTTGACAAGGCACACGTGTTAATTGAAAACCATTCCAGGTGACGACCTCATGAAGCTGACTGAGAAGCCAAGAGGGTTCAAAGCTGTCATCAAGGCAAAAGGAGGCTACTTTGAAGAATCTAAAATAAAAATCATATTCTGTACTTTTTAACACTTTTTTGTTAACTAGATAATTCCATGTGTTATTTCATAGTTTTGATGTCTTCAATATTAATCTACAAAGTAGAACACTGAATGACATTGAATGGCGGCTGTGGCTCAGTGGCTAGAGAGCTGGACTTTGAATCAGAAAGTAGCAAGTTTGAGTCCCACTGCAGTCAGCATGTCGTTGTGTCCCTGTGCAAGACACTTCACCCCAAATTGCTTGTGTGGGGAATGTCCACAGTACTGAATATATGTAAGTCGCTTTGGATAAAAATGTCTAACAAATGACATGTAATGTAATGAGAAGATGCGTCCAAACTTTTGACTGGTACTGTATACAGGGGCGCCGTAAGGGGGTGAAAAGTTAGGACGATTCTAAGGGCCCGTGACTGACGGGGGCCCCAAAATGTTTAGAATATTAAAGGCCATGTAATGCATCTAACACAGGTGTTTTTTAACATGTAGTTTAGATATCACCAGAATAAAAATAAATAAAAATGTTTAAAGTTTGGTCATAATTAAATGACATATACGTTAAAAACCGATGTTGGTTCCGAAGTTTGCCGAGTACGCCCCCGATCACTCCCGAACGAGCGGTGACGTCACACGTGGCAAATATTGCCATTTGATCAAATCAGTCCAAATGGCAAGCAACGCGACAACTTCAGACAGCGACAGCGACAGCAACAGCGATCATTCAAGCTCAGATTCGGTGGGTTATCTGGATTCAGTTACAGAAGTAGAGAGTGAACCAGCTAGCCTTTCACTTCAAGGCATCTTGCCTTATCAGTACGATCCTCCTGCCCGGCAATCGAACAACGAGGCAGAAACTTGTGAAAGAGAAGCGGATTCCGCAGCCGGCAAGACTCGAGTCGGCAATACTGAATGGTAAATTCTGTTTTATTTAATTTGACCTGCACTAAATGTCGATCTTAATTTGTCATCTGTTCCTCACACGT